AAGCCGTGAGTGCATGAGACCCCAGGAGGAGCCATCTCTGCTCAGAACCTTCCTGTCCTTATTCAGCTGGGCCCCATGCCCGTAAGGCTGCACTAATCTAAACCACACAGTGGCCTTGCAGTGTGTGAGCATTAGAAGAACCATGCCTTGGCTGGTTTCTACCTGTATGCCAAGCACTTTGCATCCTGTTTCTGAAGGATCCACCACTTAGGCTATCAGGCTATCTCCTGAATTGTGCCTCTGATTCCTTAAGCCGCCCATGGTAGCACAGCTTGGGAGTTTCAGTGTGCTGTGTGGAGCCTGCAAAAACAAAAACCACAGATGGAGATGAGAGGGTTCTAAGAATCAGGAGGCTGGTTCAGAGACTCAGCCTGTAATCCCAGCACTTTGGGAGGCAAAGGCGAGTGGATTGCCTGAGCCCGTGGGTTCAAGGCCAGCCCAGGCAAGTTGGCGAGACCTCATCTCTACAATAAATAAAAAATTAGCCAGGCATGGTAGTGCACGCCTATAGTTCCAGGTATTTGGAAGGCTGGGGCGGAAGGATCGCCGGAGTCCAACAGGTCGACACTGGGGTAGCCATGCATGTGCCACAGCACGCCAGCCCGGGCAACAGAGTGAGACTGCTACTCGAAAATAAAAGAATCAGGGAACCAAGAATGCCAGGCAGAGAATTCACAGAAAACCCTGAATATCTAAATCGATGACTGAGAAGGCACTCACGCGAGCCCCTGAGAATGTGGCTCGTTTGTCTAAAATCTGAAGAAGTGAAGGACAAATGAGTGGCCTCCCTGCTTCCCTCTGATCCGTCCTCCTTCACCCTGCTGCTGCCGGTCTGACCATGCCGCCAGGTTTCGAAGTGCAAGTGCCTTGTCTTTGCAGGTGGCTCAGGCCCCATGACCCATGACTCCTCACGCTCCTTCAGGCTCCCTCTTGCTCCAGTCTATGCCTCCAGCCTCTGCTCAAGCTGCTCCTGTGCCCGAGTGCCCTCCCTGCACTATGCCCAGTGTCCTGCAGCTGGCAAATGCCTCTTCGGCATCCAAGAATCAGCCCAAGAGTGACTTCCCTGGGCAAGCTTTCCTTCCCCTTTCCCCCTGGCCTCACCCTGTGCAAAGTGGATCACTCCCTCCTTTGTCCCCAGATGCCCGATACAGACCGGAATCATGGCTCACTTTATGAAACTCGAATGTTGTGTGGTTACTCCTCCGAGGCTAAGCTAAGACCTTATCAAAATGAACGATGCCTGGCCCTCCAGACCTTTTCACATCAAAGAACATATAGAACTTGATCCTGATAAGATGTGTGTGGTCCAGGAGTCTGCTTGTCAAGGAGATCGGTGTCTCAGCACACCTGTAATGATTCATCGAAAGCCTAAACACACAGTTGAGAAACTCTGCATACTGTATTCACAATAGCAAAAACATGGAACCAACCATGCTGCGCATCAAAGCTGGACTGGATTTTTTAAATGTGGTACATATACACAATAGAATATTATGCAGCCATAAAGAAGGACAAACATATGG